CATGGAGTTCAGAAGATTCCATTATATATTGAATGAGATACCATAATGAGTAGTTGGCTGATTTTTCTTTAGTTCTTGTAGAAAAAGATTGTTGAGTAATGTGAGAGTGAAAGCCATAAATAGTAGCTTGACTATCAGTGTAAATTTGTATAGTTAAGTATTTGGAAAAGATAACTAAAGCTGAGAGAATAGCGAAGATTTCAGCTCGAATTGAGAAGGGCCAATAATTAATAGAAGCATTAAACATTAATTGTGAGTTTAAATCAGTATGACAGATCCAACCTATACCTATTTTATATTGATCAGTTTTTGAAGCAGAGAACCGTCTGTGTATAATGATAAGGATTTACAGGAAGAAACTTCTGAATTAATTGATCGCAGTTGATCGTGATATGAGGAATTAGGGAAGATTTGTTCTATAAGATCTTGAGGAAAAGGAGGAGTATTAGGTATGATATGGATAGAATGAGATTGTGAAACTCTAGTGATTTCATGTAAGGTGTATCTAAGTTGATGAGACACTGTTTTAGCAGATTTTGGTGTAATGTGAACTTGAACAACACTGTATTTTACCATAGCAAAATTACAGAAGTCATAATATGAAGTTAATGGAAATCTATTACAACCGTCACATTTGGCAAGCCAACCAATGTTGTTCTCAAAGGAGTAGATGTAATGTTGAATGATGAACTCATCAGGCTTAATATTTTTATTTACAATTTGGCTGAAGACAAGTGTGTTATTAGTCAGATCCCAGATAGAAATGAATTCTTTCTTTCTGTCAGCTAGCATTATAGGTTTAGCTAAGTTAAGATAGTTGGGAAGACAATCTAGAAAGTATTCCTTATTAAGAAGTGTATCTGAGGGGTTTTCTAATACAAAAGATTCCAAAAGGGATATAAATGTTGAATGACATATCTTTGTAGTAGAATGATTGAAGTCTCTATATAAAAAGTCAGCTCACTTAATTAGATGACGTCCTGTAAATGATGTAAGGTGATCTAAATAGAAAAGATTATGACTTTTTAATATGTAATGGTGACGGGTGAAAACATTAAAAGGAATGATTTTGTAAAGTAAAATAGATCCTCCCACAATCTGGTTTGTGAGAATAGGAGAGCATATGCATGAAAATTTTTGGGAGTTATGACCAATTAGACTTAGGGAGGCACCAATTAAATTTTTGTATGATTTACTAGTGAATGGATGGT